TAGTGTGCAATAGATGTTTATAGTCATCCCTGACTACAGATGCTGTGATTGGTGATGATGATGCGGATAATGATGGATATTGTGAAGGAGATGGTGCTGATGATGAAGGTGAAGAGGCGCCTGCAGCGCGCTTTGCGAGCGCGCGCTCGAGTTCGTGATCTAAAGCGATGCATTCTGGTATACCTTTGTATGCTGGCGCAGTTGATGGTTGAGGTGTGCGTGATTCGCGCGAAGGCACGGGAAAGGCGCGCGCGTGAGGCGTGTGAATAGGAACTGATGGCCTTTTGTCAAGTACAGCTTCTGAGGGTGCGCGATAGAAGAGTCCAGCTGTTGCATTAGCGCTAATGGTCGTATCCTGCGTTGCGCGACTCGCGTGGTATTGATCTTTGTACTTAGCCACTTTAGCTTGCACTGGCGCAGTTGCTGTGACTAAGGTGGCAATTGGTGCTACTATGGGCGCGCTAACTGGCGCGCTTGGCGCGGGAAAAGCGCGCGCAGGTAATAGGAACTGCGCAGCTGCAAAGACGTCCATGAATGGGTAGGGGTCGTATGGATGGTGGTCAGGGAATTTGATCATAAGGCGCAAGCAGATTTGCGCCTGAGCATCGCTAGGGATTCCTTCCATGAATAAGCGGTCGCGTTCGGCCTTTCCAATACGGTCTTCATCCATGAGTGGCTGCATAATCTTCCTGAATGCGCGCAGGTAATTGCTTAGTTCTGTGCAAGAAGACATTGGTTTGTTAGCGTATTCGCGCGCGATGGCGCGCAAGTCCGCGAGTGCATAGCGTCTTTTACCATCCCATCCAGGATACATTACCTTTACCTCGTCTAAGAAGGCGTTGTAATCGCTTACTTGTGCTTCAGGCATTCCGCCCCATAGTTCTCGATCGTCGCGCTCAAGGTAGCGGATAATACCTTTGATGCGGTCGAGTCCTTGGAGTCCTGCTTCATCAGCGAGCTGCTCATAGGTATCAATAAACTCGGCGAGGTTGTCTGTAGTGCCGTCGAACTTGGGCGCGTTTGCTGTGCCGCGGATGGGCATTCTATAAGGCATTGCAGTGTGAAAGAGTGCAGGCGCGCGCGAGGCGTATAGGCGTGGGAACTATTGTGTGCGCGCAAGGCGCGAGAGTGCGTGACTATACAATGGTTAGCTTCTGAATTTGCAAGGAGATTGACCTTATATGTGCGAATTGCGCTAAGTGCAAAGGTGCGCTCGCAAGGCGCACAGGGGTGGGAAAGCGCGCGCGCAAGGCGCAAGAATGCGTGACTAGAAACTGGTTAGCTTGTGAAAATGCAAAGAGATTGACCTGTATGTGTTAAGATGCGCAAAACTAGATCTTGCTGACTGCTCCCCTCGCGGTGGGCTCCAGTTGTAGAAACAACAATACTGAGAGGAACAAAGAAATGCTCCTGACTGTATCTAAAAAGTTGTAGGTCGTGCGTTGCCTAGTCTGCGATACTTGAGATGGCAAGTGCATTCGACCCTAAAGGGGAAGCGCGTACCTCTAGATCTCCGCTGCACCTGCTTCCCCTTTAGGGTCGAATGCACTTGCCATCTCAAGTATCGCAGACTAGGCAACGCACGACCTACAACTTTTTAGATACAGTCAGGAGCATTTCTTTGTTCCTCTCAGTATTGTTGTTTCTACACCGTGTTCATATGCTTCTAAGAACTCGTCATCAAGCAATATTTTCCATTGCGCTTGGAAAAGTTCGCGATGACAATGAGTTGTGCATTCGCGGCCAACACCTTTCCCTTCAGTGTAAATCCCCGTGAAATCTTTGAACAAGTCCGGAAGCTGAATAATAAGTCAATCTGGATGAAGACGAAGACTAACTCATAATGATCGTCATACCTTCTGAAAATAAGCTACATGATTTCCCAGATTACATGATGGTTTACATCGGCGGTACTTCGATTCGTTGCCGAAGTACATATAGACTGGCCACAGCTTCGCGTTACCGAACGTGGTAAGCTGCGTAGCATCTGACCAGAACATCAGTGCAGCGACCACGCGGGGAAGTTCACACCCTGCCTCTCCAGGCAATTCCTGAAGTTCGTGGTGAGCATCTAGGAAGGCAGGTGATGTGTACAGTTCGCCTTGGATATTGACTTCGTGTGGAAGATGAGGCGGGCACCAATGCAGTTGATAAGGCTCATAATGAAAATATTCATCGTCGTGAGTGCTAGCGAGCTTTTCCCGTATAACAGACACAAGAGACCGATGGTAGAGATCTGCCGCAACATAAGGACAAATATCCGGCTGAGCTGTTGTTCGACAAAAAGGAACATCGATGGTCACTTGAGTTTTATGCCACCCAGCATCTTCATCCTCCCATTCTTCTCCCTCATCACCAACACTTGCACCTAATTGGGAGTTGATCTTGTCCCAGTGCGTATGCCGCACATCGTCTGGATCATAGTCTGGACGTCCGATGATGTCGAGCAGTTCTTTGAAGCTCTGCTGTGATTTCTGTGCGCCCCCATTCCAATACCAATGACCAAGCTTGAAGGAAGATTCGTTGGGATACGGATGGAAAGAATTATCGAGAGGTATTGCAACAGTATCCGAGTCTTCTGCAGTAAGAGTTGGGATATAACTGATATCTTGCAGGGTTATAGCCTCTTCCGGGTCATGGCTTGGCGGGACTGAAGAGAAGAATTGGCGGACTAGACCAAAAATATTCCTTGATGTGCGAAAAGGAGTAGCTTGCACCGAAGAGGAAGCTCTGGCAGGCACTATGTTTGTGGGTGAACCAGTCTCTGGTTGTCGTGGGGTATAGCTAGGGACGCTAGGAGGCTGAGGAAGCACATCCTCATATTGTCTGAAGCGGAGGGGCATAGGGACACCTATGCGGCGACTTCTACGCTGCGCCAATGGTAAACCGTCATCTTCTATGCAAGTAGATGATGTTTCAAGTCGGATATCGGGTGGTAGGATTTGTGCATCAGCTCGCAATGAAGAGTCTGCACACGACACCTCCCCGGGGGTGATGGCCGAGGAAGTTCGTAAATCTTCTGTATCTAACGGCTGGTTGGAAAATAAGGGAGGGATTTGCGGACAGCGGACCTGCGAGCTCGAAGACGCTGTGTGAGCGCACACATCCTGTTTGTGACCAGTGGTAGACAGTCTAGACCATTTTACCGAACCTAATAAATCTTTCGCTTTTGATAAAGCAGAGAATAGTCGTTTCTTGCCCTTTGTGCATGAATGTTGATGTTTCATATAGGCGCTGGCTTGAGTAAACTCGCAAGTGCAAGTGCATTTGAATACTGTTTCTGGTAGACCAGCCATGAATCTGGTACGGACACGAGCGCATACTGTTGAGCTAGCAGCAAAAGATATTATCGAAGCCATGGAGCTTACCATTTGTCATTGAACGTAATATGGCTAATACAGGAACGAGGGCTGCCAGCGTAATCACCGCCTAGCGCCATATTCCTATATGACCAAATCACCTGGCGGCCTGACAGGGGGCTGGCGCACTTGGTGGCGGCCAGATCAATTGGGCCAGCACGATCGGGATGGCTGAATATAGGGATGGAAAAATAACAAGGTAGGAGAACAGCTATATAAACACCGTTCAGGTTATTTTCTACATAGCCTGTTATGTCCTCACCATCATCCGAATGCTCGACGCTCGATTCCAGAGAATTTGAAGTTGATCCCAAAATGTTGGAGATGTTGGTGAGGATCCTCACATGCCGCCATGGCATACTTCATTACCACGCAGAAACAGGGGAACTGACAATGTTTCAATGGTCAATGAATTTGTATCATGGAAATGTGTTCGTCACTCACACATATTCTCTCTACAGGCCCACCGACCGATATGGAGGGAAAATACACCCTTCATTATTTCAGGCTTACCGTGACGCACACATGTTTTGCTACCCGTGTTGTTTTTGCGCGACAACTAGCAGATACGTGGAAGTATCAATATTTCAGCGCTCTGAAGGGGTGTGCCAGGGGGAGTATGTCTCGGAATGCGCCACGGGCAATTGCGGCTACATGCGTAAGTCGATACACAGATGCGTTGGTCAAGCTAATTTTCAATGCAGTGAATATTGAGAAATTTTATGATAGAACCTACATACCCTCGGTGTACTATCCTTGGAGATGTGTGCATTCTCAGCCATGTGCGCGCTCATATGCTTATAACTCAAGGTCGTCATAAGTCTGACCCGCCTTGGCCATATGACTAGAAATTAATATGAGGAAGTCATTTGCTATGGCTGAGTACAAACATGAGCTCTTGTACCTTCGATTTTTAGGAATATACACACTGTTTACTATTACCATGAGCAAGTTCGCGAAGTATCCTATGATGTCATTCGACACTTTGAAGCTTCCCTTGCCCATTGACATCAATATCAGATTTCGCCTCTGCAAATTGTGTCAGATATTAATCTGATGCTAACCATATACATTATATCATATCTGACCGTTATGAATCTGCTCTACTGCAGGATTTGTGCTTATAATCACTTCAGAGCACATATAAATCACATCTCTCGTACGTAGTGTAAGTGAACGTCCTTGACTGGTACAAAATTTGCACTAATCAAACTTATGTATAGGTACAGTGTCGTAGCCATATCGTAACTGTGTGTGTACACGGATTCGATGAAAATGGGAAAAGGAAAGAATGATGAAAGTGGGGTAGTATTTATAATGATCGACTTTGAGAAATTAAACTCAGCCGGCAACCCCCGTAATATCCAACACACGTCATCAATTTCCAAATTTGATGATAATGCTACATTCCACCGTCTGTAAGCATGGAGCGTTAAATTTTATTATTAAATTAAGTTAAATCCTGCGGAAACAATTTGCACGTGCACAAGCCCTGTTCTGTGCGAGCTCCACCTGAAATCCACCTGCTCCCTTTCAGTGTGCTTGGCAGTTTGCAGTCAATGCGCCGTGCACTTATCTCAGTGTTTGAGTCTACTCTTGACAAAACAGTAAATGTACTACACAAACATTTCGCATTGTAATTCATAGTGAACGTTCAAAGGTAAAAAGATTGCTTGTACTAATACAAGTACAGTCGAGCCTGATCGATGTTCGTACTAACCTTACAACAAGGTCTATGGTACATGTTGATAAGACATAAAGGGATATAAAGATACGTGCGCCTGATAACCACTGCGACGGCTTATGCAGTGGCGTTAAATATACGACGACGCACCCTCTGGCCCATACTCCTTGGGCCATGGAAGTATTCCTACACCTGAGCTTTCGTAGTTAAATGTAAAGGTATATGCTCATATCACACCGGGCAGAAATAAACACAACTCGGTTACCATAAGTCAGAATTGGTGCGAGTGTCAATTGATTCGTCATCCATGCACTCCATGTAGCGATGCACTTCCTCTGGTAGATGCTGCGGCAGAGCTGGGCGTTGTGACGAGTCTATATCTGTAATGTCCCATCAGCCATTGATGAAACTTCGACCAGTTCGCGCTTACCACTGTCAGAGTAGGTTGATGCAGGGGAATTTTCAAGGGCCAGTGTATAAACAGCTGCCTCAGCTTGGGCACGGCGCATCTTTGCTCGCAAGAAGAATAGCTCCGATTGAGCATTGCGATGGTGAGTATGGTATCCTCCTAGGTCAAGGTACATTGACATGAGTCCTGCCTGTGTGGATAATTCCACTTTGTGCGCCTCTTGGAAGGCCTCTTGGAGGCACATCGTAACCCATGTACTTTGCAGGCTGAACAATGGGTCATCGTACTTCAAAGAACGTAAGAACAACCAAGCGAACTAACGATAGCACTGACATTCACAGTCACCAACATTCGTTGTTCCAGGTGCACAAGAGCAAACTGACCAATAGTTAAAGGAGAGCCGAGAAGGGGCGAGCTACTTTCGATCAAAGTAATTTCTTTAGGTGGGATGGGGTCGGTTTTTTGTCTCCTTAACCAAGTTTCACACTTGATTCGCGCAGCTCCCGAATAGGTGGCTGTGGGTTTGGTGATGCATCGTGAAGTTGCTGAGAAATAGGCATCGTCATTGACTGGTAATGCAATAGGACGCATTGCTGAGTGATTATGTCAGACCACACTATTTGCAGTGATAAGTTATAACAGTCCCTCACGTATAGCCCAGCGCTGCTGTATATGATCAATGGCCTGGCTGCACAGAGACACTTCCAGCTGACAGCGGTCTCTCTTCTCTTCCATGTAATCTCATTCTATGCTCCAGCGGTTTGTATTATCCCCAGCAGTACTTCGCAACGATTCCTCCTTCTGCGCTTCCAACATACGTCCCGCGACTATTTGCCAGATGTCACCGAGATACACCCGACCTTTGAGTACAAAGTGCAGGAGATATAATTCAGTCCGGAGCTACACAAAATATCAGAACATGCCAATAGATGCTGTAGAAATTATGAACTTACTTTCTCTGTTGGTATGAGCCTTATGAAAAATTCTAGCCATTTGGCATGTGTTAGTATGTTAGAGAGTTCAAACATGCCGACTCGGGCAGCTAAACTGTCGAATGGTGGAAGACAGGAGGGGGCCGACATCATCATGCAAATGACGGTTGGAGTCAGATGGGTAAATTAAGTCTTGTTGGTCATTCTGAAGCGAGATTTGTATAGAATTCGCAACAGCAAATGCTGGAAATTTTAATAATACATTTTGACAGCTGGCCATCAAAAGATCTGGCTGGCCGTCAACAGATCTGGCTGGCCATCAAAATTAATATAGCCCTCGAGCCGCATTGACTACTGATATTGAAAGATGAGCGACATAGTACATCGTCTGGACCCTTATAAAGGTGCCCTTGTCCTAATTCTACAGAAGGATAACAAAATAACAAAATACGAATGACTTGAAACAAAGCGTAGATGTAATTGGCAACTCAATAGCATGTGCACGAACAAGTATGAATTGTGATCAGTGTCAGGGGTGGTAGGTAGCTCACCACCGTAAAACTGGGCGCTCTGAATTGCCTGAAATCTTTCCCAAAAGCTGAGTGGTGTCTGGCCCCGGTTTTTTAGTATCTCTAGCAGATGAGTGACCTGTTGAATTAGATTAGCAAAACGTTCTGCTAAGTCTTTGAATGAGGGAGACAAACCAGCCGTTAAAGCATCAACAGATGAACATTAACCTCGGGCCCGATGAAGTGCCCGCAGGCCACGTTTAAGCCAAGTCCCTGAGGCTCATCAAAGTGTGGGGTTGAGTTGAATTCTTCGAGGATACCGTTCGGGTAAGGCGGAGTCATAAAAATAGAATGACATATCCCGCTCCACCCAGCTATGCAATTGAAGTATTCGTCAGGAAGCAAAGAGAAGAAAAACTAATAGCCTTACCTACCTACCTTTACTGAGCCTTATTTGCGATTGGGAAGTTGGAAAGGTGCAACACAATGGAAGCGCACGCTGATATACTGAATGACTACATATTGAAACTCAGCCGGAATTCAGCGGCAGCGAGCCACTAGACAAGTCGGGCATCGCCGGCTGGGTCTGAATGTGTACTGTCATTCAGTATATCACCCATGTCCTTTTTGTGTTGTACTCTTTTTTCGACTCCCTCGTTACACTCATGTCTAGACGTCTAAGCTTCGACACAAGTATATTTACAATGTAACCTTCTATATTTAGCACGAAGGTGAAATGGTGGAGCAGAACGTCCAATATTCTTGCGGTAGCCTGCAGCTTTGGCACGGCACAATAATTTAAATATATTATACTTACAAGTGAGGTGGGCAGGCACTGAGTTCCGTCAATAGTTATGTATATTATTCAATCACCTGTGGAATTGTCTTATTTAGCATACTATAGCCCCAAGGAGGGCGGGCAAGAGCACAATGGCATTTCGACAATTCAATCAGGCTGTCGGACCACAACTGGCCAGTGTTTGCACCGGCCGTTGATGTCCACAATCCACACTACCAGTGAGTATTAGCTAATCTACAATAGTGATTCACTACAAATATCGACCTTGCACATCAGCAGTTCCTCTTTCTCCTACCATTACCTCGATACGATACAGTGTACAGATATTCAAATAACTATAGTGAACGTATCCTATCCGATAGACTATCAAACATACTATGTGAGGTTTCAAGTTCATTTTAGTAACTCTCAAGTTTACATATACCCACATAGAGAAAGAATCTTGGATATGTCCAAACGTGCCCGATCCAATAATGACGAACCTGCCTCGAAGCGGCTCAGGATTGAAGAAGGTAAGTCATAATACAGTGTTGTCGATATCGTCATTAATGGTATGATACAGGCAATCAGACATCACCGGCACTATGCGATAAACAAGCATGGGGAATTCTCCAACAGTTCCTCACCACCGATATGACGATGCCTGAAATGGATAGTGCTCTTGCATCGTACCTTGGCGATAGATACTCTGCCGATGATTGGGTGGAACCCCGACGTGCCTTGTTCTCCTGGCGAAGGAGATGACAGCGAATCCTTGGTCAACCTCAACCGACTCATGGCCAGACACGTACCCCCTGCCCCTCCCTCTCCTGCATCGAAGACGGTCAACCGCTTGTCAAACTCACGCAGAAAGCGATCACATGGACTACGTAAAGTAAGTAAAACACTATGGCTGATAATCTTGTATACTAAAGAGGAAACATAGTCTACCCACAATCCATACATCATCATGGAGGCTGAAGATGATGATGAAGATGGGAGTGATGAGGAGGAGGCCTGGCGCTCCGAGTCGGAGCAGTTGCAGAAGGCTATACGCATGTCAGGACCATCGGCAAAAGAGAAGTTGGCCAAAAAAATTGACGACTTAGCCAATAGGTTCAAAGAGAATTCGGGCAACTCATCTCAATGTCGTCATGGGCTCACTTCCAGAGCGGCCTTGATCCCTTTATCCTCACTTGAAGTTTCGGCACCTTCAAGCAGGATGTATTTACTTCACATTCAAAGTATGTTTATTTCGCAGTTACTTAGTATACCACTCATTGCGTTGCAGGAACTGCCGTTGAATATATCGCTGAACACCTTAGGAACCAAAAGTTCTCTGTTACTGTATCGCCTTGGGTAGCAGGCCAAATTTACGTAGTCGCAGATAGCCCCAAAAGCATCTGTGACTCACTTCCTGCCTCACACGGTCTCGCCGTGAAGCAATGTCTTCGCATCACGGATGCAGAACGTGAAGCCGTCGTTGGTTCACTGTTCCAACTACCTAGCCCAGCTTGGGTGAGGATCAGGCACGGCCCACACAGGGGCTCTATAGGCAGAGTAGAATCCCAGACAGAGAATTTGGTCAAGGTTCTAATTCCTCCATTGCGCTTTCCCTATTCAATGCCTCGCGGAACTCGAGCTCTGCTTGATCGATGTCGCCTTCCGACCAACAAGGCCGTTTCCGACATCATTTGTGATAACAAAGTAGTAGGATGAACGTACGAAGGACAAAGCTACTACATGGGTCTCCTACTACAAGATTTCCACCGCGATAACCTCGAACTTCTTGCCTCCCCTCATATTGACGACATCCGACTCCATCTTGAATCCGGATGGGACAAACCATTCCTGAAGAAAACTGTCGCATCGTTTTCTATGCAATTTTTGCGCATGGGCGATTGGGCGAGGGTCGTTGAAGGTGCTCTTCGTGGGGAGTCAGGTCAGGTCATATCGACGGATCATACAGTTGGTTCCGCGAGCTTGGAGTTCGCGTTCGATGGACGTCCAGAACAAATAGAGGTTCGTGTTGAAGAAATAGAGCGCGTATTCCGGGTCGGCGATACCGTCAAAGTTGTAGCTGGTCCATACTTGGGAATAGAAGGACACATTATTCAAATGCGGCAAGATGTATTTGACATTTGTCAAGATATCACCAACAAACAGGTATGTCTTGACGCAAATACATTTCTACGAAATTGACTGACATTTACATATAGGTGGAGGTTTCCAAGTACTACTTGGATCGGCGTCCCTTGAATCACACCATGCACTCACAAATACCCATGCAACAATATCTCGAGCCTCCCCCCGAGTCCGACTCTATCGAAATTGGAGATTATATAGAAGTGCTGGATGGCAGGCACATGGGGAAACGCGGCGTCGTGGACTGGTATGCCAAGAGATCGACCTATCTGTGGTTCCGGGATGTCCTCACTCAGGACGGCAGAGAGACCAGCTCTGGACTCTCCAGTATCTCAGTTCCTGTGGCAATGGTTCGGCGGACGAGCCTCACCCACACCATCCAGTATACGAAGGACAAGGGGTATGATGTCAGGCCTGGAGATGTCGTGACTGTTGCCCGCGGACCGGAGTACCAGGCGAAAGGGGTCGTGCACAGCGTTGATATTCCAAATGCTCATTTGACCATATTATGCGATAGTGACCGATCGCTCGTAAGTATAGTTCACTTCGTCTCGAATACATCTGACACGTGTAACAGCTCCGCATCCCAATTAGATTTGTAACTAAGATACGCAACGTCTTCTTGGATTCGTTGCAGAACGATATTGGCCAGGAAGTTTTCGTTATTGGGGGCGACCGGAAGGGCTACTGAGCCACGCTCCACTCTCTTTCCTCTGAGACTTGCATCGTTGCTGTGCATGGGCAGCAGCGCACCGGACTCAAACTGCACAAAGTTGCCACCAAGTGAGTAATACACTTATTTTCAAATTGTTCTGAAGCTTACAATATTTAGGTATGGAATGAGACTGAATGGCGCGATGCTCGAAGGTCCGGAGTTAACCGCATTCTGTGAAATGAGGAAACGATCATACTTGGCGCCTCCACCTCGCTCCACCACCCCACCCGTCGAAAAAGAAAAAATTGCTTCCAGTCCAGTGGTTTATCTCACAGGTCCCAGCTCATCGCCATCCAACGCATGGTCCACCTGGTCCGAAAGTTTAGATGTTGATAAGGCATATAACCCTACGTCAACCGCCAATCCCACCTCTCTGTCAACACACGATCCCTGGGCTGTCGATACCCAGAACGCCGAAGCGGAGAATTTGCCGGACAACAGTGCGTCCTCAGTCTTGGCATCGCAATGTCTACTTATTTCATTCTAGGCCCAATACCTTGGTTGATGTCAAAAGACTTTTCATTGACACTTTCAACGTATCACGTGTTGTTGAAGGTGTCGCCTAACTTCCTCCACGGTAGGCTACACAAGCAATTTGTATCGACAGCTTGTCCCGACTCATTTTGTGGTGAGAACGGACAGGCACCTGAGGGTCACGTGGCCGCATTCTGTACATCCAACGGCGCAGGTGCTGCTATTGAACACCATCATATCCCCGCCAGTGATCTGAGCCCAGCTCCTCCATGCAAGAAAAACCAACAGTGCCTCGTTCTGGACGGGGCTCACCGCGGGGCTCTTGGAACTGTTGTAAATTGTTGGACCAAGAAAAAGACTGTTGACCTTAGACTTAGCGAAACTGTCACTGTAAATCTGGGTTTCGATCAGCTATGTCTGGTAGAACCTGCAAAACATATGAAGTGATATATACCAATAGTAGAGTACATGGGTCTAGTTATTGGGGATGATCGCCTCTGTTCTTATCTTACGGTACATATCTTATCTCAGTTTCACTTCAACCTGTACTATTAATGTTGATTATCCTGTAATAATACATGTGATATAATGTCAATTTTTGGCGCCAGCAAGGTTGACACTGAACGGCTGACTCGGTTCCAATCAGCGAACCACTCACTTCTCCCGTTACTGACTTCTACCCTTGCGCAAGAACAGGCGCCAAAAGATATGAAATATCTATGCTTGCTGTACCGGGCTAGGTTGTCAGTATATCCAACAGGCACCCTAACTCATCACGTGGATACAGTAGTTGTCCAGCAGGTTTGTAACAATTGGTACAACGTTGGTAGCTTACTGGTGGGCATTGCAAATAACCGTCAATGATGTTTATTTTGGGTAGCTAACGACCATTGCTATCGATAACTGCTAGTGTATTTCCAAGTCATTGCTATAGAACCATCACAACTGCAAAGGGAGACCGTTTGGAGGCAATCTGGCATTGTTTGTGCAACCAACTGGTTCACAACGCAAAGAACTATCACAAAGTTCCACTTAGGCAGTAGGTGACCATTGCGGTCGAAAAATGCTAGTGTATGACAAGGCATTGCCCTGGCTCTATCATCACTATGAGTAACAACCATTCTGGATAAGTATTACACTGGTCGTGTAACTCACGATTGCCGTCTCATTGAAATTGCAAATAAACATAACAAAGTTTACCTTAGGCAATAGATGACCACTGAATTGGAGAGATGCAGGACTTCTTACAAAGGTATATCTATCAAGCATCATAGTTATAAGGCATTGCGAGATTAGTATACATTCATCAAAGTTAGGTTCATATTGCACTTTCTTATCTTTGGATGGCATGATGTTTTGCATATATATTCATTTGTCTTCGGATATAATCCAGTTGACTTTTGGTCCGAACTTGCCATTTAAATCTACAAAAGCCAAGTTCTCGCCGATTTCCTGATGATTTGACCTAGTATATATGGCAACTACCAGTTTTCCCATAGACACCATCCTTGGCAACTGCCAGTTTGCTTTTTTGACCTATTGCATGGGACTTTGCCAGGGCCCTATTTGGGTGGGTGTTTTGGCTTTCACAGCTGCATTTTTGGGGGTTTTCAAACTCAGCTATGTTTTCAGTCACAAATGTGTTTTCCACATTTGTCAGATGTTTTGATATGTTTTACTCCGCAATTTTGGCCTCCCCACATTATTCCCACACTCCGCATTTTTCGCATTTTTGGCCACCTACTGTGGGATGCTATTATAATGATATATGAGCAGGCTGGATTATATATGCAAGAGTAAGATACTGAAAAACATCAAAAATGTCAAAAATGTGATTTTCCATGTTTTTGTTCCTGTAGCAAGATCCTATGTGTGTCCTGGGCCAGCTATATAATAAATCTACTCCAAATATACATAGGAATAGACCCCCTACCTCAATTGAGGTCCGGTCCTACAGGAAAAAATTTCACAGGGGGTAAACCACCAGGGGAGGGGGGCCACACCATGCAACAGGATATTGTCCTATGGTCCTGTGCTTCTGATACATTGTTCCTATTGTTGAATAGATGCTGGGAATCATTTTTGCAAGTCTGTTCACCTAGAAATAATTGAATGGGAACATATTCTGTGTTTTCTTGCATATGTGCTATATCTATTGATGTAGGACACTTCAGGGGGTCAAATAAAGATGGGAATCTACTCATATATGCTCATAAATATGTTCTGAATATCATAGAACACTTCCCCACCAAAGGGGCAAAAGTGCGAAAGTGTTTTGCACCCTACTCTATGTTGAATTGCCCCTGGAGGAGGAGCAGTCACACAAACAAATAAAAAAAGCAGTCTATTATATTATATTATACATATATATACTAAACTACTACTTATATATCAAGGGGGAGCTATTGTGGTGTGGTGGTGAAGCTGCAATGATGTGGGGAGGGTGTGGGAATAATTAAATTGTGGGGTGTACCATATTGGGTGATGTTTTGGGTGTTGTGGGGTAATTCCCACAGTAGGTGGCCAAAAATGCGAAAAATGCGGAGTGTGGGAATAATGTGGGGAGGCCAAAATTGCGGAGTAAAACATATCAAAACATCTGACAAATGTGGAAAACACATTTGTGACTGAAAACATAGCTGAGTTTGAAAACCCCCAAAAATGCAGCTGTGAAAGCCAAAACACCCACCCAAATAGGGCCCTGGCAAAGTCCCATGCAATAGGTCAAAAAAGCAAACTGGCAGTTGCCAAGGATGGTGTCTATGGGAAAACTGGTAGTTGCCAAATACTAGGTCTAATCTTACAGCCAAGGGTGAAAAGGCAAGAAACGCTTGTCATCCGCTTTATGCAAAGCAAGGGATTTCCTGGGCTCTGTGAAATGGTCCCGAGTTGACAACAACACTAGCAGACAGTCTTCAAGCATGGGATTTCACCGCCCACAAGTCTCATCACCGTCTTCCAATCAGATCGACGCAGTGTCATCTGCAGATTCTTCTAACATTCGTGCAACCCCATCCACAATCCATCCACCTCCGAAGGCATCGAGTGCAGACTCTTCATCGTATGCTGCACCCAGCTCACAAACCAATATACCTATGGAGATAGACGAGGGGTTATTGCTGGCATAGCGGTGGAGTCAACGTGTTGGTATTTCTTTGCCACTGCGCTACAGACAATACGACAATGTACTTCTGCAGCCTCCCCCGAGTGTTCCATCCAGTGCGACCTCCCAACAACAACAACTGGAGTCTAGTTCACCTGTGAATCCTGCCAACACAACTACTTCTACTTGTACATCCTTGCGGGCTCCTCCTTTCCGCACAGCAAAGAATATCTTTGGACTGATACGCCAATTTTTTTCATCAACTCCCCCGTCTCATGACCCGGAGGAGGTCATTATGCTCCACGATATCAGTTTCATTCCTCCTGTTACTCCAGCAAGACCAGATATTCATGCTGAGTCTCACAAAGTGTCATTCCATCCATACCCCAACAAATCCTCTTTCCAACTCGGCCATTGGTACTGGAATGGCAGTGCGCAAAAGTCACATACGAGCTTCAAGGAACTAATTGGTATCGTCGGGTGTCCTGACTTTGATCCTGATGATGTGTGAAATATGTCATGGGACAACATCAACTCGCATCTTGGTGCAAGCGTTGATGATGATGATGAAAAAGATGAGTGGGAGGATGAGGATGCGGGTTGGCGTAAAATGCAAGTAACAATCAAGGTTCCTTTTTCTCGGACTACTGCTCAGCCAGGTGCCCGGCCTTACGTCGCAGCGGAACTTTATTATCGACCTCTCATTTCTGTTATCTGGGAAAAGCTTTCGAATGCTCAGGACAACGAGCTATTTCACTACGAGCCTTACCTACTGCGATGGAGCGCCCCGCATCTTCCATGTGAAGTCAATATCCAGGGCGAGTTATACACTTCGCCAGCCTTCATGAATGCACACAGCGAACTTCAGTCGTCTCCTGGAGAACCGGGATGTGACTTACCTTGTGTGGTTGTCGCAGTCATGTTCTCGTCTGATGCTACACACCTAACGAGTTTCAGTAACACGAAACTGTGGCCGGTATACATGTACTTTGGGAACGAATTGAAGTATCGTCGGTGTAAACCATCCTGCAATCTGTGTAATCATGTAGCATGTTTTCATAAGGTATGCAGGTCATTTATCATCTCCAGTATTGAATCTGATGGATGACAGCTTCCAGATTCATTTAAAGATTTTACGGGTACTTACACCCAAGGCAAGGGAGTCAGCCGGGAATGCGCTACTCATTGCCATCATGAACTCTTTCAAGCTCAATGGAGGGTTTTACTCGATGCTGAGTTCTTACAGGCATACGAGCATGGGATTGTAATTCTCTGCTGTGACGGCATTAAACGCAGGTCCTACCCGCGATAGGCAGCAGCGCGTGACTCTTGTGCATTCCGATGCCTCAAGGAGTCAACTGGTGAAAACAGCTCGAGGCTTCATCTACGAGGAGAACTACGGCATAGACAGCACAGCAGTTGAGGACCTTCTGAAGCGTGATTCATGGGTACCAACCTCTGTGAGCATGATCATTGATTTCGTTTCGTGAGTTCACTAACATCTAATTAGAACACGTTTTCGGACTGCCTTAGTTCATTCGGTTTCAATATGTTCATTGTGCTCGTGGTTGATCTGCTGCATGAGTTTGAGCTTGGCGTATGGCGTATGCTTCTGATTCATTTATTAAGGATTCTTTGCGCCTTCAACAAGGAGTTGATCCATGAACTTGATAGGAGGTGTGCCAAACATTATTGATGATTACTCGGCAGCTAACAATCAACTAACTTTGACAGGTACAGACTAGTCCCCTCATTTGGATCAGCAACCATTAGACGATTCTCCGCAAATACTTCTGAGATGTCAAACATGGCAGCACGAAATTTTGAGGATCTTTTACAAGTATGTATCTGGAACAATTCCTGTAGGTCTTTGTCTAATTTTGTTCAAGTGTTCTATTCCCATTTTCGATGGCCTACTCCCCGGAAATCACAACAAAATCGTGATGAATCTTCTTTTCATCATGGCCCACTGGCACGGACTGGCGAAACTTCATATGCACTCTGACCTAACCCTAGATATCCTGGACCAATGAACTACTGATCTCGGCAATCATTTCCATCAGTTTAAGGCGACAGTGTGTGCCACATACCACACCCAAGAACTTGATCGTGAAGTTGATGTTCGGTCTCGCCGGCTGGCAAGGAAAGCAGCCAAACGGTCAGACACCACAGACAAGGTGAATCAGACTGGCCAAAAAACTGCGGCTCGAAAATCTAGGATAGGTACCAGCGTGAAAGGGAAAGAAAAAGCGACTTCGGAGCAGTCTCAATCTCTACCTACACCAAGGCAGCCACGGAGGAAAAAGTCTTTCAATTTCCGGACCTATAAGTTTCACGCACTTGG